TTGGCGATTGAAACCGAGTATAGAGATGCGAAGTGGAACGACAGTGGAGAAAAAACTGAGAAAAAGCGTCGACAAGGTCGTTAACCAAACTCTCTCTCCCACTAGCAGTGAAGGAGGCTGGCTTGGGAAAGAGGCACGTACAAACAAGTTTTTTGGAGATGTCAGTCGTTCTATCGGTAGACACGGCAATCAACCTAGCTAATTTCACACGTTATGCCAGCCACGCACCAAATCCGGAGGTGGGTGGCCCTGGTTTGACCAGGCGGCCCTGGACTGAAACCGAACGCCTCGGCCCTTAAAGCAACAGTTCAGGGAGGGTCCGAAAATTTCAATGCCACTACTACTGAGGGATACACGAGCCCTAGTGAAGAACATATGCAGTGGAAATAACAAACGAACTTACCTCGGAAACTCAAAAACAGGGTGGAAAGTCCCCCAAACATGGGTGTTCTTGGGGATTTCCCCAGTCCCGCCCCCTTGCCGGCCGTCATTGGACGCGTTGGCAATCGTGCTCGTTTTGGGACCACAGGGAAAATTGATTGAAAAATAAAATGGAGCGCGTTTACAGCGGGCACCGTGCAGACAACTCGCCCAACGTGCGTCTTTATCCATTGCTGAGCGGCAGAGGGAGAGTACCTTTCTAAGACCCTCTCCGACGTTTTTTTCCAGTTTTTCATACATTAGTCGTCTGGTTTTCATCTACAACTCCATTATTGGTGGTTTTTTCCCGCGAAACCGTTCCTGAACTGTTGCTTTAACGGGGTTTTTCAAAGTGGGAAGTTGCTGCAATGTGTGCAGCTACCCACATACAACCTCCATGCACGGGAATTATTTCTCTAGCGTGCCTGAGCCCGACCTTTGCTTTTAATTAACGTTCAGTGTTCCCTAATTTTACTGGTGCTCAGATGTTGAATTGCAATAAGCGTGCAATAAATAATAAATAAACAAATAAATAAATGCCTAGAATCGTGAGCGAGGCCTATGAGAGACGATCTCGACAAATTGTCAGGCCCCTAATAAAGTTTCCACTTAAAAACCTCATTGGCAGAAGAATATTACCTTTGGATCGTTTTGAGAAAGCTCAGAAGACGTTTTCGAAGGATAGGACATCGAAGCATTCCCATGGGATCCACTCCTCACTATTGCAGTTGCATTGACAATATGGCTAGCAGGTCCTTGCCAAAACGTGGACGTATTCTCTCACAAAACGGCAACAAACGCCTTATGTCTCCAAACAGACTGAGGGTCTGCACAGTGGAATCCAAGGAAGTAACAACGGTGAATAGCCTATAGCAAAAAGCTTGCATTCGCTTCCTGTTCAACTAAACACTTGTAATGGGAATTCGAATTATCTGGAAAAGACCCCGACTGATTTGCGAGAAAAGGAGCATTGCATTCACCCGTACCACAGAAATGTCATTGATTTAAAAAGATGCTCAAGGCTCCGATCCTGCACAGAAAACAAATGCAGAGACGTCAGTGCATCCTCTGAGATTGAAGAACATACACTTGGAAATAACGAATTCAAGAATCGCGAATCAACCCATCGGTTCACAGCCGGCCGTTACGACCATACTCAATGATACAACGATCACACCCACGTCATTGACGATGCCACCAACTACAACACTTTCATCGAAATTCGTCTTTGATTGGTCACATAATACACTGTGGAACTCATTGTCAGAAGAACTCAATATGGCATGCGACTCAATATGGTATGCGACTCCAAGGAAGCAGCAGATTCCCTTAACCCTTTGACGACAATGGCACCCACCGGTGGGTGCCACTATGTTCGCCGCGTGGGACAATGGCACCCAATGGTGGGTGCCACATTTAAATTTCCTACTTTGTGCATCTAAAACATTTGTAATACCCCAATAATTGATTAAGCAAGTTCTATAATATCTATGGCTGGCACGACTTACAGAAATGTTTGCTAAGAGCTAATTTATATAGAATTTTAGCAAGTGCCATTTAGCTCGCCACCATTTTGATTAGGATTCTAAATTATTAAGGTCTAAGATAAATTGCTAATCAGGACTTATTCGTCTTCTCGTAGCCTTCAGACAGGGAAGGGGTATGAAGTGGAAATTCTCTTGAACACTAGAACATTTACAGGTTTCGCCTCCATCCTTTTGAGACGCGGGTTCCCCGTCCTAATTTGGAGTTTTCTTAAAAATAATTTACAGCATGAAAGCCAAGAACTGCAGTTATGACAGGTCTACTGTCAGAGTCGAAAATTCTACAGAAAAACTGCTTTAAAGGACAATTTTTTCTAATCTTGGGCGAGAGCTGAGCGCGCTAAAAACAGGCGTGGTCTCACGAGCGAGCTACGTGCAAATCCGCATTGTCGTCAAAGGGTTAACTTGAACACAGACTGCTAATGCCACCCGGCGGGAAACAAAGTCAAGTGCGCACGCACAGGATGTACCCATCACAGACGTCCTCGAGATTGAGGTCCAGAACCGACTTCCTGTTTGCTGCTCACGAATCACATTCAAGTCATCGGAACGTGATCCCACAACAGCAACCGCTTACGTACCAACATACGGCGGCAGAATTCATCATCTGCACGAAGGAAAAATTCAACAAAGTGGTTACAGGCGTAACAGACTTCAATGCCTACTGAAGAACGCAATAACAAGGGACTGATCAATGCCCACAAAGAGCGCATTCAAAAATTATCTGGACGACACACTTCACCGTACCGTGTAATTCTGAAGGAGCCCAATCTACGCTACGATTCGTCCACACACTTGCAAGGGTGTGAAAGGTGCGAGCTTCGAATCAACCAGAACGACATTTGAAACCATCCCGGAGTACTCCGATTGACACGAACGATATATGATTCAGCCAAGAAAGTACTCGTGGTGAAAGCGCGCTATCAGATGAGTTTGGGCAACCGGATTTTAAACATGTCTTCAATGTCGTCTGCGAATGGTACAAGACAATCGCCGAAGAATTTGCAGTGGCAACCGTCATCGGATATTTGTTTATTTGGACATATGGACTCAAAATAGCATTTAGAGGGCTAAGCACCATCGCATTTTTTTCAAGGCTCCTCTTCGAATCTTGAAGTCACTTGCAAAGGCATTATGGTCTTAACAAAGGGCAGGCCTAGGGATACGAAGAAGCAGTTATAATGCATTACATATAAAAAGCTTAAGAGATAGCATCTCGCATGCACTACATTTAATCCCACCACACTACTTATGGTCAATCTTTATTTGATTCTAGCGAGCAATGGAGCGACCAGCCACTACCCCACAGCAGACGAAGAAGAAGAAGGAAGGATTTTCACATATACACAACGTTCACATCCTCCACAACTCCAAAAGGGTTCTGATGTAGCTGCCAAAGAAACAAAAGTAGCTGCCAAGCCTCCGAATCTGCCAGAGAAACTGTTACGTGGAAGAGGGCACTCACCCTCCTACTACAAAGACGTTTTGATGCGATGGAAAGCCGGCTTGCAGCACTCACTACCGCGAACCTCACTTCAGTCTCGGCGGAGCGCGCTCCGCGTAGGAGGGAGGAGCAATTGTTTCAACTGCTGAAAACCAGCTCAGAACTCGCTAAAGTCCGCAGTGCACGAAAGAAATCGCCGCAGAAATTGAGGGATGAGAGTCTACCTGTTTAAAGGCATCTTATCCGATTCGCAGAGGCTGGCGAGTTCAAGGAGAAACGTGGTCGACTCACGGGAATCAACCCTGGAACTCGAGATGAGAAGCTTTGAAGAAGCGGATTTATAACGCACGTGAAGTTGACCGTCGCGAAGGGGATAGCCAACGATAGAGCAGAACTTTTACACCAGCAGCATCCACCGCCGCGAACGAGAACCTGAGGGTAGAAGAAGTCGTCAGGGTGGTCGACGTCGCGAGAAAAGTCGACATCTTGCGGACGATAGCCATAGCGCAGAGGACGAGATTAAATTCCCAGCGTCATCGAATATAGAAGATCTGCGATCTCTCTATCTTTGTGCATCTCATATGACTCATTTGTAACGGTTCTTAACGTTATAATCTGGATGATCTCTAGCTCGAAAGGGCAAAATATTTACAGTCCGGAGCACTGTCTGTCTTACGTGTGAGTTTCAGCTCAGCGTCGCTCATATACCATATAAATAGCGTCCTGTGGATCTTAAGCTCCAGTTAGCCTCATTTCTTTACCTCCAGGACTACCACTCATCCTTCTCTTTTCATTTGCTGTGCATTGTATGTGCATTGAAGATTGTGTTCCAGGAGGTAGTGTGTACGAAAGGATCCGCGTGGCACGACAGACGAGCAGTATTCTAACGAATCCCGTTTAGTATGGACGACGCCTCGACGCTGCTACGAGTAACGTCACAGTTTCCATGCTCGAAAAATCATTCATTCTAGAAGAGAAGCTTAACGTCCACACACTCACATGCTTCGGAAAGGATTGTGGAACTGATGAGGGAATCCTGATCGCATCTCTCGAATTTCTCCTGTTCTGTTGCAATTTGGGCTGAAATCCGTGCTAACTGATGAACAGTGCTCGCTTTTAACAAAGACATCGCGAGGTCCTATCAAGGATATTCTAGGGAGGGTACCAGCAGGCAAAGCATTCTAGCAATACTGTTCGACCCTCAAACATAAAAGAGCTACTGTTCAATGAACCAAGACTTGAGACTGGTGAACAGCGCCACTTTTTACGAGTTTCTCCCCTAAAACTCAGTGTGAGGCAAAATCACTGTACCTCAAAGAAGCACTGTTTAAGAGCGAAGCTTGCTCCTCTGGACGAACCACGGCTGTAGTCAACGAACAACGTTTGGACTGAAGGCAACTACATTTAGCATCCTTGCAGTTGTTCCTTTGTTACGGGCAAATACTTGTAGAGTTCCATCAAAATCAAGTGAAGCTACAGTTTTATTCCATATTATTTTGTTACTATATTCATGACGCACCCTGTAGTTAGTCACCAGGCTACAGCCCAGTGCGATTTCTAACGAAGAATAGCTTTCAAGGCAAAAGTTGGAACTACTCACTAATTTCGTCATCTGGATCAAGGCTGTACTGGTAGTAAAGATCCCTCAATGGCCGTGAGTCCTCATGATGTTTTTGAATGGCGTTCGTTGCAACACCAACTACGGCTAGAGCAAGAGTCGCAAGAAACATGATGACAGTGATCAAACCCTTCAGCGAACAATACTATCATAAAAACGTCAGACATCAATGAAGTAAGGAACTGTTACCTGAATGCAGATGAAAGGAAGGAGGAAGAATTTTTTCTCGAGAAACACGCCGTATACTGTTGAAATGGAATATACTGTGAACAGCACACAAAATATGGAAAACCTAAAAGAAAACCAGAATTTAGAATATTTCTCTTTTTTCTTGTTCTAACTGATCATTTCATTTGCAGCTGCGAATGCCCATAATTGGCTCAAAACCCGTTTAATACGTGAAATGTATAAGACCATGAATAGCATAGAGACAAGCTCTAGGCCTCGTTCTCATAAACTCCTCTCTTTACCACCACAACAATAGCATTTTTTCGTGGTCTCATTTCTCATCTTGTTCCTTCGCTACGGTCGTGCCATTTTTGTGAAAAACAGGCCGTGTAGCTTCCTTAGAAGGCTAACCTTTTTTTTACTGCTTCATATAATTAGACAGTGCAATTCATAGTTGAAGCTCTTATTCTAATTTTGGATTTAATGCTAAGGTAGAGAACTGAAAACCTTAAAACCTTTTTTGTAATTGTTTTCGTCTTAACGCCATATCATAATTTACGCTCACCCTGACAAAACGTGCATTTTATTACAAGGATCAATAGTACGCAGAGTCAACCCTGCGTTGCGCAGTTTTCAACGGCCCCGTTGCGCAATTTCGCCCGATTAGACACGTTCTCTCGCGCTAACATTCACACTCGCATGCTCGAGCCGTCTGTGTCTCCGCCCATACAGCGTGCGTTGAGGATCTCTCGACGTGCCGTTGCGAACTGCGCAACGCAGGGTTGACTCTGATAGTACGATCTCTGTGGGAGTAAATATCTAGCGCAACACAACCTCAACCATGTCTTTAATGCCTAGTTTGGTATTTCGAAGAAAGGGCAGGTTTTAGGCATTTCGAGATGCTGGGCTCGGTACGAGAGTAATTGCGAAATAGTGTACAAGCGTCAACAGTACCAGCGTCACGCCCAGATTGACAGGGCGGCTGATGAGGACCCCAATCACCTCAATCATGTTCAAGAGTCGCAACGGAAACAGGTTAATGCTAGGACGTCACCCGGAAGTGGCGCGCATAACCCCGCCCGAGTTCTGTAGTCAGTATGCGAGGGCAACCGAGGAGGGAAGGAGGGAACGGTCTCGGCCAAAGAGGCTATAGGGACTCTAAACGTGTGGTCGCTAACTGGAAAATCCTGAGAGGTTGTTGTTCCGATGACGCGCAGTAACACGAAAATTCTATGCCTTCAGAAGACGCGATGGAAAGGTGCTATGGCCAGAGCAATCGGGGAAAGTGTCAAACTCCACTACAACGGAGAAGACATCAAGCGAAACGCTGTGGCCATAGCGGTAGCGGAGTCGCTCAAGGACCATGTCTCCGCAGGAACAGGATCAGTGATATGATCATGGGTGTGAGTATAGACACGCAGGAGGATTACTGGACCACCCCTCCGTTCAGGCACCGCAAGCCGGATGCCTTGAAGGTGACAAGGACAGTTCTATCTCGGCCTTGACGATGCCATCAGATCGATCCCCAGCACAGGCCTCTCCTAGCAGACATTGTCATAGAGGTCCCCAAAAAGGCAAGGGTAAGAGCTGAGAGGAGAATCCGGTGGTGGAAGTTGCACCGAGCACAGGAAGGCGACCTCAAGCAAAGGATGATGGAAGTTGGTCTCCCAGAACCTGGAACCAGTGCAGCGGACTTGGGTCAATGCAGCTGAAATCATCCTACGATGCGCCAAGGAGGTACTGGGACGGACGCGAGGTGGATTCAGAGGAGACAAGGCAGCATGCTTCTTGGACGAGGAGGTCCATCGAGCGATGATGCAGAAGAAGGAAGCATACAAGCGTTGGCAGAAGACTCAGTCCCAAAAATCTCGCTATCTACAAGAGTTGCGAGAGGCTCGCTAAGGTTGCCGTAGCCAAGGCAACGAACACGAAAATGGACGTCTTGTACGAGAAGTTGGAAAGCAGAAACGCATAGTTCGTCTTCAGACTGGCTAAAGCCCGACATCTGGCTACTCAAGATATTAGGACGGTGAAGAGCGTGAAGAGCAGCAACGGCGCCATCCTGAGGAGGTCAGGAGAAGGTGGAACGAGTACTTCAGAGGTCTTCTGAACGAGGAGTTTCCTTACAAGAACAACTCACAGGCAGAGGCTAAAGCTGGTTCCATTGTACTCTGGACAGAGGATGAGGTTCGGTGTGCACTTGGGAAGATGAAGGTAGGAAAGGCAGTTGGTCGGGATGGAGTACCCATAGAAGCTTGGAAGGCGCTCGGAGAGCACGGGGTGAGGTAGCTCACCCGCATCCTAAACACGATAACTGCCGAAGGAAGCATGTCGGATGCTTGGAGAACAAGTACTATCGTCTTCATCTTCAAGCAGAAAGGTGACGCGATGGACTGCTCCAACTACCGCGGCAAGTTGACTACGAATTCCATGAAGTTGTACGAGCGACTGGTCGGATCGAAACTGCGGGAGCTGGTCTCGATCCTCCAGGAACAGTTCGGGTTTACCCTAACGTCGACGACAGATGCCATCTTCATCACCAAACAAGTGATGGAATAATGTAGAGAACTGCTACTTGCTTCCTTGACGTGGAGAAGGCGTTCGGTCGAGAGAAGTACTGCGGCGAGAAGCGGCGATTGCTCAGGGAGTGGAATGTGCTAGAACAACTGATCTTTCTGGTGAAGGACATATCTGATGGGGCTAAGACAGCTACACAGTTCTAACAAAGGAGGTTGACATCACGGTTGGGGTGCACCAAGGAACAGCTCTAAGCCCCTTCTTGTTTCTCGTGAAACTAGACTCCTGGTGAAGGGGCTCATGGAGGGACCACTGAGACCATCCTCTACGCTGACGACTTCGTCTTGATAGCGGATAGCAAAGAGGAACTTCGAGCCAAGGACAGTGTTGGAGATTGCAACCTCCAAGACCCTGACAGTTCCACTGCTGCGGGAGTGAAATTGGAAGACTACTACGACGAGACAGATTCAGAAGCAGTAGAAGACGACGAAAACTCGTAAGAGCAGAAGCATCCGGTCAGACCAACAGCTACAGAGTGCATCTTACAATACTACTCAATGTGGACGTTACCAGACAGTGGCTTTGTTCCACGAATGAGATATGGAAAGTGTGTATTAGTAATTGTTAAATAAATATGTTTCAAAAAAAACACATTCAAGCGGTGACGGTATGGCGTCAAGAAGGGCCGCTACAGCGCGTATGGTCCCTGGATCAAAATCCTCAAGCCCAGCGTACATCAGCCGAAATTCTGCAGATGATTAGCTGCAAGGAGAAATAATTGCCATGTAAAACACATTGGTAACTTAATTTTGAAAAAGGCGTATTCTAAGGGTTGAAGGGTCCGCAGAACGATTCTACGCTCTATTCTACCTAAATGAGTTATCACAACAAGGTTAAAGAATCCCGAATTCGTATCTTGTTCCACGGGCATTTTATCTTTCAAATGGGTCCACCAGCATGGAGGGATGTGAAACACACGGCGCGCCCCAAAGTGGGCCCAGTCACTTGCGCGCGCTTAAACAACGGCTCTTTAAAGTAAAAATCATGATCCAGGGAGAACCAAGAGGATGTTGAAAGGGGCCGTGTAAAAGGAAAGTGCCGAATCTACTATTCCAGAAGAAGTTTTCAGCTTCAGTATGGCAATGCGCCGAAGAGAACCACTCGCCGGTACTCGGCAAAAATCCTCAACGGAGCCATTTTTAACTTCTGAACGAATCGAGCCACTTCAACAACTATTAGCTAGAGCATATCTTCTAGATAGATTTGTCTGCCATATCAACTTTTAAACTAAAAACTTTGAAGGAAGTTATTGCGCTGGAAAGTGTAAAAACTCGCACCCATCAAGTATTTATATATTATATATGTTTATTTATTTATTACTATGCACTGATATGTAGGTGCTCCACAACAATTCTTCAGATAACAAATCACTTATGAATCAGAAAAATTGGTTTAAAATGAGCTCAAATTAAGCAGTATTTCGCCCCAAACCTCATCACCAATTGTTTTTTTACCAATTACCAATTTTCCTCGGCAATTAATCTAAATTGCTTATTTCTAGCGTTTTGTTGAATGTTTACAAATCTTATACGGTCAGAAAGAGCTTGTCAGAAAACTTCCAAATTTGCTCTCAAATCGAAAATTCGTTCACTTTGAAGAAAGTTATAGTGACTTGAATATGTGTTCAAATTTCTATAGTAAATCAACTGCTCCAGTTCGACGCTAAAGACCAATCAAGATCCAGCTGGCTAAAGCGGCTACAAGGCTTCTGTCAGCCAATAGGTGAACGTGCAGATTGAAAGTGTTAAGCATCTTTCCCATACTTCGGCTTGAAACGGCACTTCCGGGATGGAAGTGCCGTTCCTTGGACTTCGGCCGCTGCGGGAAGGGGTCGTTTTTCAAAATTTCTCGACGTGACTCAGCAATGTGTTAACAGCGAGAGCCACAGGTTATCAAGCCCCATATGTGGCACTAGTGTTAGCTAAAACTATAAAAAAAAACTCGAAAATGATGCTGCTGCCACAATTTGGGTACGCATGTATTCGGGATGAGAAACCTGTCAGTAGTGCTAGGAAAAGAATCCCCGATTGCCTGCCTATCCTGAAAAGCAACACTTGAGGGTGAGCCATAAATATGAAGAGCGCTGTTCATCCACCCACAAATTCCCAACTCGCATTTGAAAAATTTGAGAAGAGAAACTGAAAATGTCAGCAAAATCTGGTATCAACACAGCTTCAGCTCAAAAAGAAAAACGATATCTCTATCCATTTTTTGAAAAAAGTCAGTCCACTTATTCAGCAAAATCGTACTTCCACCACATGTTATTTCCAGAACATTTCCTGTTGTTTGATTGTATTCGCTTTTTCTTTTTCGGCCAATGGCAAAAGAAAAACTTTGGACTTCCGCAAAATATCGCCAAAGAGGTCCGAGCATTGCAAAATCATCAAGTCGCAATGAAATTGGTCGTCGTCAATAATTTTATTACTGATCATTTCAAATTGAAAAAGAAAATATCAGATGTTCTTTTTTGGTTCCTGATCAAGATATCACAAGAGAAAAACACAATTTTACCAAGTCGACTTCGGGAATTTCTTGAAAAGGTAGCATTGCAGCACAGTGTTTGACGTGTTTCCCAGAATTTCAGATCATCCTTTGGCGGAACGGTGCTAGCACATTTATAACACGCAGAAATTCGAGTGGAGTAAGGCCAGTGTTCAATCTGTAATCTTATGAGGTTTGTCTGTAGTTCCTCGACGCTTTTCATTCTCATAAATATTTGTTCCTTTTCTGAGGAACCCATAAGAAAAACAAGCGCAAGGCAAGTAGACCTTGAGAGAAAGGATGAAAATAGTAGAATCATACTCCACTCTGCTCAAACACCTTTCGAAAAACTGATTCCAATTTCGCAATGGCTCTTCAGCACTAAAGGTGCGTCACGCCTTTTGAGTCCAAGTATGATATAACGAGGGCGGAAGTGGAGTAGTGCAAAGGGGCTTTGCGTGGCCTTTGCTCTCCCCCCACTCGCACGGTCCCCGATCAAATCCTGGGTCATGTCTCGTCCAAGCCAAAAAGCAATCCATCCTTGCAAGCTTAGTACCAGTTTGTCTGGAAGGATAATAACGCTGACTGGTACGTCGACTGATCCTCGAAGGTCATTGTATAGGCCAAATCGCATCCAAATGGCCGCTACTGTCCTCAGTGGAAGTTAAAAACGTGGCGCAACCCTTAAACGGGCTCATCAACGCCGAATGCTTTGTCCTTTATCTTTTGTAGTGATGGAATTCCTAGAATACACGTCAAGCAACATCAATTGAGAAATAACTTTAGAAGGAGATCTTTTCACATCTCCTTTTCGCGAACTTGGATTCCTCTCTTGTGAAACCTCGATCAGGAACCAATAAAGGGAGTTCATGGTGTCTTTCAACTTCAAATCCTGCAGGATATCCGAACAAAATCTTAGCGGCAACCAAACTTCAGGCCAACGGCCAAAAGCAATTTGAAGATTTTATAATGATTGGACCTATTTTGGGTTAATTTGCCTTTGAACGTCTAGTTTTCGGCAGCGTTCCTTTTGCCTTTCGCCATCATCAATTAAAGAAATTGTGATCACAGTCAAACTATTTCAACAGCAAAATTAAAGTATAGAGGAACAAAATGTGGTGGAAGTATGATTTTGACGGAAGGGGTAACGAGGTGACGTTTTTCAGAAAAAAAATGAAGAATTAGTTGTTCCCTTCTTGAGCTGAAACTTGTGTAATTTTCAGATAAGGGTCAATGTGCATCACACTTCCACTTCGCAGCTCTTCTCAAAAACGTTTCTGAATTAGAGTCCCTAGAAAGCATGTGAGTGGAACTGCCGTGCTTTCAATCGCCTTCTTCTTTGAAAAACCATCATAGAGGATATGTAAAAAAAATACCATGTGTGATCGAATCCGAAGGCGAGAAAGTTGAGTCCTGATACCAATAGACATATCACGAAAAAATAACACGAGAAGAATTTGGCCGCAGTCTGAAAATCGTGGTGATTTGTATAATGTGTCAGGTGTAGTCGTTGCTTTTCTTACTTGTAATTCTCTGGATCATCAAGACAATAGAAATACGGAGTAGTTTACCATCCTAGACCTTTCCCCTTTACCCTTCCAGTCTCAATCAAATCAATGGATGGATCACACTTTATCAGCTTATGTTTCTATCCTTTCATAGACATCACATGAATGTTTCTGTGAGACATTCATTACACACCACTCGGCTATCGCTACCCCTTACATCTATAGCGACATCTCAAAGTGGTACGTGAAAGAGTCAGAGGTGAGTAAAGAAGGAAGTGGCACAACGCGACAAGGTTTTGGGCTTATCCATGCCTGACGGTGGTTATGATTGCTTTTAAGATGCACAAGGAGAAAAGATTTCTCGAATTCTCCTTGACGCAGCGTGGTTTGACCTCGCAGGAACTCAGACCCATCTACCATTAACCAATCAGAATTATTAGCTTCTCTCAGCAGTTCGGGCGTATTTCAAACTTCTTTTTGAACATACTTTGTTTCAAGCACATACACCACTTATACTCACTGACATGCACCATCACTATCAGTGAGTTGTTGGCAACGATCAGCCGAAGAGCGGCTGCCCAACTTCCAGAAGGTTTGCAGCTACGAGTTTAAAAACCAGTAAGGTCGATTTCAATGTGTCCATGGGAGTCGTACGTTGGTCGGAATGATTGCTGAGCACGAAAAGCAGGCGTCCTTCGAAAGAAGGTTGATCACCGGTGCATGTCGGATATGGTGGGAAATTTCAGCTAAGCTTCGACATCTACAGTCGCATCATTTTCGAAACGAGTGGCCTCGGTTACCAAGGAACACACGATCGGAATACCTTTTTGAACTTTAAAGCAACAGTACCAAGCAGGGTTTATATTCGACATTAATGGCTTGGAAGGATGCGCTAGCAGTAGTCAAGAGCATAAGAAATGTGACTGAACAGAAAAACACCTTAGAAAGCCCCCAGAAAGGGAGATGAACGGCTTCGAAGAGGCGTGGTTGGATTTCGGCCGAGGGGACTGAGTCGACTGAGCAACCACGCCCACTTCGAAGCCGTTCAGCTCTCTTACTGGGAGCTTCCATGGTGAGTCTTTTGTTCAGCCACACTTTTTATGTTCCGAGGGCACATCATTTCACACTATTAGTGTTGAAGGTAAAAGCAATGCAAGGACTGTTGCTGTGAGGACAGTTGTTGGAGTTTCGCCATGATTCCCTGCTGTTGATCACACTAAGCTTGACCGCGGAGCGTGGCGTTGTGGTGAATTTGTTATTTTTCATCCTCATCTGCTCGATCCAGCCACAGGGGCTTTTGCGTGTGGTTGTCATGAAAGCTCTACTTCTCATCTGCAGTAGCAGCTTTGCTCACCCAGTAGGTGCAAGTGGAGTACGAATTGAATTACAGTCAGACCTCGTGTCGTACTCCTGTCATTCAATACATGAGGGAATCTCTGGCAAAGCTTGAATTCTTTTACGTAGGAGGAGAACCTCCGTGAAGGGTGCCTCTGACGGATCAGGGCATGTAGTCCAAATAATAGGTTGGACTATATGGATTGGCTTCAAGAGAGAGCGAAGCCCAAACAAGGTTTTTCTCGAGGCTGCAGTCTATTGAGAAAAGAAGATCCATCCATTCTGATACCTCATCACAGAAAATGATAAGGAAATGTTTTGCAATGCAGATATAACTTCTGACTTCGGCCAGTTTGTGGCTTTGTAGAAGTTCTGGAGGCAGAGAGTGAATACTACATATACTGTTCTCTTTTCTCACTTTGGGCTCGAAAAGGCGATAGGGTGGATGTGATTCGTTTATAAGTTCCAGGGCTTTGTACTCTCTCCACCGCCTACGTAAACATAGTTGGAATTTGCTAAAGGAGCTTGTTTCATAATTAAAAATGGAAGGAACTTTTGAGACGACACAATAATTCAAGAGTGGTGAGTCAGTTCTTTTGAAAGTCTGTCATTTTCCAGGAATCGAAAAGAACATGATCTAATTTGTTACAAAAAAACAAAAATCAATTACTCACATCAATCACTACTCTAAATATTGGGTTCCCGTAGAATTAGGAAAAGGCAGCTAATATTAGACTTGTTGGATCAAGTAGTGAAGTACAGCCAACTACTAGATTGTTCGAAAACTAAGGCGGTTTTTGAGATGTCATGCATACTGGAAATATTTTTAAACTGATTTCTTTTGAGATCTGAACCATTATATATCATTGACAAGATTATTCCATTTTCTTTTCGTCAGTATATTCAATTACTATATGACTAGCTATCTTAGGGTCTTTTATAGATTTGAATGGAAGCTGTCAGGGCAGTGATTTGGGCATGTTTTTTTCGATGTGCCGAAACTTTGACATGGTCTTCCATAGATTTGCCGAAATAACACTGAAGGATGAGGCCAATGAATTACCAATAAAAGCGCAGCACAGCCTTGGCTCCAAAATTTTGATCTTGAAGAATTCCGTCTTGAAGGTGTGGGCAGTCATGAGCATGGTTCTGCTGTTGACGACGGCCCTTTAAAGATTCGCGTGAAAGGTAATTCGGGACTGACTGTGCTATAGCAAGCAGTTAGACTAGAAGTGAGTATATTGAAAATACTGCGACTACTAAATATAACTGGAGAAGCGAAAAAGCCGGACAGGTGGCTACTGTATGGGCTTACTGAAGCAGTAGGAATACCGTTTTCTCAAGGTGCCCTTTCCACCCGCACCGTCTTCTTCCGTTTTACATAACAAAACCTTCTGGTATTTGGAATTCATTGTCATCTAGGGCGGAGAATGAACTCATTGCGACTAGAGCCTTCACTCAATAGTAAGACCTTGTTGAATCTACGCAAAATTCTTCGAAGCCGAAATTATAGAAGATTAAAGTTGAGCTGAACATTAAGCACGAACAGCAGTCTTCCACGATCTGATGCACCACTCCTCTCGGGAAACAGGTGAATTTAACACAACTCCAAGGTCTGAGCATATCAACACTTCTTCATGATGGCGCTCAACCACACCATAAATCGCATAGCTTCATCAAAATAGGGTACGAATCCTCACCCCACGTCATACTCACTGGGCTTCTCCATAAACAACACCCCCTTTTCCAATCATCTCGACAACTTCTTGAACAAAAAACGCTTCAATTGATGTGAAAGTGACGTTCGACGAAATCATCACCTCCAGAAACGCTAATTTATGAGAGGGAATTGGAGTACGCATCTCATAAGAAAATCTAGTAGTTTTAAACAGCTATGGTAGGACCGAAAATGTTGAATTTAAGTGGAAATATGCCTTTTTGAAATATTGATCAAAAACCCGCATTACTTCTTGAACAAGCTAGTATTTGCAATGCAAGTATGGAGCAAGATTTCAAACCGAGACAAACAAGACGATAGTTTATGAACTCTCATGCTTCCCTGGCTCTTTTGCTGACTTCCTCTCAGGCTCTAAAGTGTGCGCGTAAAACTATAGTCCGCTCCACTGCCGGCACAACACACCTGTCGCCGACTCTATGAATTGAGAAGCGGACCTCACATCCTCGGATCAAGATAGACGGACCACAATCCTGCCCATATAAATTTAACATTAATTCGGCAACAATTAGAGATATCTCACTGTGATGGAAAACAGTCCAAAGCATAGCAAATAATCGTCATCGTAAGGGTCCTCCTCCTGCGTATCGTAACTGAAGGCCGCCATTCCTACGAAAAAGATCTATCTGGAAAAAATCAAAAATGATCCATGATTCATTATTGAGGAATTTCGCGATGAACTTGAAGAGCATAAATAGAGAGCATGAGGTGGAAAGCGTTTCGAACTTATGGCATGAATATCCGATTGATTTGTATGTTTTCAAATCATTATCTTTCAACTTTTTTTCAAACCTAAACATTCTTTTCTTCCGGATAACCTTATCAAAGATAAGGAAGTTCAGGAGCTTGTAATAGCATGAAGCATAAAAAAATTTGTAAAAGTTGCCAAAATCGTTAAGAAATTGTTCAGGAGACGCTAACCATTCAACCATCATTCTGAATAGAAGATGCTTTTTAACGCGATGTATTAGGTTGTCTCATAAGTAGTGGCGCATTTTTTCAAACGGAAATTTTTCTTGTGAACCTCTAATGTTTTACAATGTTTCATATACCATTCGATAGGAAATTACCTGCTCTACAAGAAGGTATGTACCCTTTTTTGATTGTTGCAAAATGTTTGAGTTTTAGGCATGCAAAGTGGGAGCTTCAGAGGACGAATTTTCGCCAAACCGACAGCTGACCTAAACTTTATAATTCCCTAGAAGAAATCAATTAATAATGTAATTATAACTTACTCATAACCTCTACTAAACATTCCACATTTAGGTTCCCTAAAAGTTTGTCTCGTTTAATTTTGAGTTATTCCAGTGCAACTCGGTGGTTGCCTGCCGGCTTTTGTGGCACTCGATCCTTGGTTGAAGGTGAACAGCAGAAGGTGCCGGAAGTGTTCCTTCTCGTCGACTTGACATACCACCATTTTCTATGCTGAAAATCGACCAGGATTGAAATCAAAACCAAATTCTGCATGCGGGTAAGTAGAGCAGAAGAAGCGCTTCCTACAGGTGTATAAAATAGCGTCAATACTGAGGAATTGGAATGGAAAATATCAGTCTGAAGGAAGCCCTATGGGTTGACAGGCAACCACGAGTTGCACTGGAATAACTTAAATTCTAAAATGACGCGACAAGCTTTCAGGAAACCTAAATGTGGAATGTTTAGTAGAGGTTATGAGTAAGTTATAGTTACATATTAAGTGATACTTCTAGGAATTACAAGTAAAAACCTTCTAGCGTCAGCTGTCGGTTTTGGCAAAATTCGTCGTCCGGACCTCCCACTTTGCATGCCTAAAACTCAAACAATTTGCAACAATCAAAAAAGGGTACATACCTTCTTGTAGAGCAGGTAATTTCCTATCGAATGGTATATGAAACATTGTAAAACATTAGAGGTTCACAAGAAAAATTTCCGTTTGAAAAAATGCGACACTACTTATGAGGCAACCTAATAAATTATGTGGGTGTCAATGCGCAAGCCAGCCCCAAACTGAACCTCTTGCTTGACCTAGTAGCAGAAAATTTTTGCTTGGTTTCAAGCCTCCAGAGGATGTTGATTAGGTACAGGTCTGTTCCGATGTAGTCCAATTAGTAATCGGGTCTGCAGAGGATGTAACCCTCGCTTCAGTGCTAGCGCTGAACTACCGAAAAGTGTTGGCTATCCTGACGGGGCACATTTTCTAGCGCTGCAGCGAGTAGAGAGAATGCGATGAAGGTACTTAATCGAGGGATTGAGACAGTCTCGTTTCGCTGAAGGTTACGAAACTCCTCTCGGATGGACCACATCGTTTACTCTCTACGCTTCTGTTACCACCTTTGGTGTCATCTTTTTCACGACATTTTCATATCTCCAACTAGATCACTGACTGCCATAACGGGTTGTATTTCAGCCAGCTGATAGCCTTTCCAAATGGGAGTGAACTGTACAGGGATAGGCAAAGCAGGATATTCTGCCAATTGAGATGAGAATACCGCGTCTTCTTCGCTACAGGCTTCGAACGCTTGTTTTCAAATGCGCTACTCGAGGGAATTGAGCATCGGGCAAACATTGGCTACTCGAAAAAGCAATGTTTGAACGTAGTGCAACATGCTGTGTGTACCTGTGAGACCTAATGCGTGAGACCTTGTGATCTCCCTTGGATTGCTCAAAGAGGTTAAACTCAAAATGATAAATCCCCGCGTCGATTAATAGTATGCTCCATTTGCAAGAAGGCTCTAAATATTAGGAACTAAGCCCTGAAGATTGAGGCTCACAGTGATCAGTTAATCACTTGCTTGCAGTCAATAAACATTTGTGGTACTTGAACTTGAGAAGGAAATAAAACAAAACGAAGGAACATGGTCCGCTGATGACGTGAAGTGAGTCACGGTAAGGTGTACAAGGGGACGAGACACGGCGAGTTCCACTCGACATTGTTTGCTCAAGAAAAAAAAAGTTCCAAAAAACATCTTTCAGGAGGGTAGTTGTGAAAAAATCGCGAAAAAATTCGTGTAAGTGTCGACCGTTCAAGGAGTTGCTGGCGAGGGGTCCGTTTGATAAACAGCTTCAACCGGATTGTTTGCTGAGTCACTTCACTTCTCTCCGAGTCTCGAGGGAATAAGAATCGATCGAATTACGATGAAAATCAAATTCGCTGACAGATCAATGTCAATATAGAGATCTGCAGACGATTAATTCCTCCTGAGTGCTACGGCCACTTGAAGGAACACGGTTGTGCTGTGGCAATAGTCTTGTAGTATTACTGTATTATTTACTAGTAAGTCTCACAAAATTAAAACACTTTCAAAAATAAAAAAGTAAGTGCTATGAACCATCAACTTACAAGAGAAAACTTGTCAGTGTGCCAAATGAATCATCCTGAAAAAATGCTTGAAATGAATGATTCAGTGATCACTGGTGAAGAATACGAGTAAATTACAAGCTACCTTTTTGACAGTTATTCAACGGAATACCATGCTTGAAGAGGCAGTCTGCTGCTTAACTTGTCCTCATCTCATGGTTTTCATAAATAATGCTCAAATTATCGAGAATTTTCGAATGCTTCAGTCGCCAGCGATGACCATCCCATTCAAACAGAATTTGTAATGCTCAGGATTTTCAACTCTTCCCCTTGAAATTTTGTCCTTAAAGTTTTTAGTTCTCATATGGTAGGAAGGAATTTTCGAGGATTTTAGCCCGCGGGGTTGATAAAGGTAACAGTAGGGATGGGGAGGTGGTAACCCTTTCACTCAACTAGTAGGTCATAACTTTAGGTTTGGCCAGCAATTCGGTTTCAGGATAGTTTGATCCCTTGGACACAAATATCGTATCTATTCACTGAAAAGCTGGTTCTGCTTTGCGGTACACCATGGGCACTCATAGGCAAGTACCGCTCAATTTTAACCCCCTTCGGCCCTGGCCGTATGAAATTCAGAGGTCTGCATTAGCGACGCAGCAGCACACTTCTACTGCCTACTGCTAGAGACTACTTCAGGAGGCCTTCCTTCTAACTGGGCTTCGAACCCGTTATTTTATTGTACATATGTTGCTGTTATCGAGGAAGTGGTGCAGTGGCAAGTGGCACGCTTACCACGTGAGCGATTCAGGGTTTAATCCTGGGTCATGAGTCGCCCAGGCCAACCAAGCCTTCCATCCCTCCGGGGTCGGTTAATCGGTACCAGATTTGTCTAGAAGGATAAAAAACCTGACTTGTATAGTCCGCCAGTCATTGTATTTTCCACATCGCATTCAAGCGCCACTACGAATGCACAAATGGAAGTAGAATCAGTAGATCAATGGTAAATGACAATATCCTTTATCCTTTTATGTTGCTGTCAATGTTACAAGTATTGTGTACAAGTCACAATGAATCGTCATGTCCTCAGCAAGCTGCTAGGTGAGTGCCAATTCTTTCTAAAAATACTTGAGATACATTCATTTTATTATAAAAAAATAGGTATAATGATGTGTGAGATTGTAAACTTGACATAACAGGGGAATGGGGAATATGTTAGACATAAACTGAAAGAAAGAACTAAGAAGCTGTGCTAATTTCAATGCATCCTAGTTCCTTAGCTTGTGATTGAAGGCTGTAAATTTTATTATAGATGTATTTCAATTGGCCTAAGCAGTGATTAGCATAGCAACGAAAGTTCTTGTAACGACAAAAGCTCAGGGTGAAAGGTTAAAATCTGCATAGATGTGTAGGTGTCCAGGAATCTAAGTGCTTGATTCTTTGATGTCGCCGCAGTATATTGTTTCTATGCTCAATCGGCCAACATTTGTACTCAATCCATAAAAGTGGTTTGGCAAACTACGCGAAACCTATTCTCAATTGAGATTCAGCGTAAGAATTTGAGCATGAGCTTCAACTAGTATAGAAAGCATACGTAGAAGCGCGTGCCCAATTGTTGAGTTTTTTTCAACATGTCTCGGCTTCAAATTTTTTCTGCCCAAGAAGTCAAGTATGACCTGCAAAAAGTGGAAGTTGTGCGAGAGGGACACTATGCAACGCGCACATGTGTGAAGCAGCTGATAGGTCGATTTGTTCCATTTTCTTCCAAGAACGTTCTCTGCGCACGTAAATGGGCGTGCAACAAGGAAAACAGTTCTTTATCCTTCCACTAAAATGATCGCCTCCCCTTCCTTGCTGTTTCGACAACATCACGTGGGTGTGATGGACAGAGCTGGTACTGTGTAGAGTTCACCTGGGTCGAGAGAGCTGTGATGTATCATTACTTAGGAGGTTCACAAAGTCAGTAGCGTGGTCCTCTCCTTGTGAAATTTTTGCTTTGGAAAGTTTTTTGATGTTTGTCGCTAGCTAGTCCTTTAGAAAACGCTTAATTCTACTGCGAAAAATCCGGTATCCGTCAAAGATGACGAAATGTTCCGAAAGTCGGACATTTTTGCTTACAATTAGTTAAACGAGTTGTGACGAGACCTCTGAAGTGCGACTTCGCTGCTGCTCAGTCAAGGGCTAGGTCCATTTGGCCAACATTTTTACCTTCCCAAACACCTTCAGGGGCTACGAAATTTTGGGATGTGCTTGCTACAGTTATGCTGCAGGTCGTCGTACACCTATGTGGAAACGTTCTTATGCCGGGTGCTCAGAAGGTTGTCGTCAACAGGAGAATGACGCCCGTAGCCCCTATCTTGGAATATACCTAGTGGAAATTTTGGAAACTGGAAAGCGCTCCTTACAATGAAGCTTCGAAGCAATCGATTCTGTGTAC